TTACAAGTCGGTCAAAAGAATATGAAGCATTAAAGCTTTGTATGTGTAATGGTTTCTCGCCTTATGTTTATTTTTATGATTTTAAGTATTTATATTATTAGTTTTTAAAACATTTCCTTTTTATACTATGTCATTCTTTATTATGTATTTTTAGAAACAAATATTAATTAAGAGAAGTAATTGCTTTTTAATTTGTTTAGTGCAAATCTATTAAAAGTTTCTTAACCCTTTATCTACTGACGGTACTTATAAGTACCACTTTAATTAAGTGCCTGTATAATTTTTAATTTAATACGAATTTTAAAAATTATTGATGTAATTAATAGTATTATCTCCCCTGAGTAGCCGGTAGTTGGAGGGATCGATGTACTTTGAAAATTTTTGGTATGGCGTCAATTTCAATGTCTTGGTGTATCGGTAGTTTACAATTGTTCTGTAACTTTCTCACACATGTTCCTGATTTCTTATTGTTTAACTTATTCTTGAAGTTTTCATCCCCAAATATTTTTTATTGGCATCTCCAATAGTCAGGCAAATGTGTTTCACTTCTAGTTATACAATTTTAATCAAATTGTCTTTGTATTAGATCGATGTTTACAAGTGGACTTATAAGTACCGTCAGGGCACACATATTTGACTATTTAAAAAAGGGAAACAAGTCATGGAAGTGGTTTGAACGTTTGCCTATCTTTCACACTGCAAGTTATATAGCCTATATATTTTTTAGCGCAATTTCCATTCTGGAGAATTGCGTTTATTAACCAGTCATTTCTGGATGTATGAATGTATGAATTAATGGATTGATGTGTGTCCGCAGCTTTAAGTCGTATCTCCTCCTCAACGAAGCAATATCGAGGACTAGTTCCTAAAGCAATTATGTTAAGCAAGTTACGAGGATGAACATACGCCAAAAAAATTCCGGGTTTCTTTAATGGATTTCCCGGAAAAGCCAAAAAACCACGAAAAAATGCAGTTTTTGGCCCATATCTCGGCAACCAGACCACTTAGCGACTTGAAACATGTACCAATCGATTTCTGCCATAATTTAAAACAATATTGCCGAAGAAAGTTTTCAAAAATATCCTTTCGTTCGGTCACAAAAAAATTTTTGAATTCATTAAAATTTGGACCGAATTAGTAGGCATTTTTATCCAACCACACCACACGCGTCATCACGTTCAATAGCTGCGCCATCACGTTCAATAGCTGCGCCATCACGTTCGGTAGCTAGGCGCGCAATAGTTTTTAGTCATGTAACTCTATTGTAAATAAAACATGTAAAATACTGATTTTTTTTTTAATAAAAAACGTTTTAATAACTAACCAATGGTTTTACTAACCATGCTCTTGATTTACGCTACGACAGAGCTATTTTTAGATAACATAAGGAAATTGCGCTAAAATTGTCACTAGACTTTTTAATTACCTTGTTTCCTTTACGAAACAGCATGTGTTGGTTACAGTACTGTAGAACATCACTACTGTATTAGATATGGTTTTTTTATACTAGAAAATCATTTTTTTAACTTTAAATTTATTTATTATGGTCGGCTGCGGACCTTTAAACGGCCTGCCCCCCCCCCCCCCCACCCCCCCGCATTGCGTGGTCTTGCGGCACTGTAGTTCCGCCCCTGAAGCAAGTACTGGTATGCACCTAACTGTGGGCGTTCTTCCTTTTTTACTTTCTCGTATATACCAAGTATAGAGAAAGTCTTGCAATCGTGCAAAAAAAAATCGAGATTTTTACAAATTTCGACGTTTTACAACTCACTGATACGGTAAATTTTTTTTTTGCAATCTTGTCCGTTTGTCTGTGTGTCTGTCCGTTTGTCTGTGTGTCTGTCTGTGTGTCTGTGTGTCTGTCTGTGTGTAAACACGATAACTTGAGTATCGTTACAGCTAGGTTGATGAAATTTCATATATAAGTCTTTTATAAAAACCGTTGATTCTGATCAACTTTTGAGCGATTTCCGATAACCGGAAGTGGTACTTTTTCTACTTTGAATTTTTCAAAAGCCTATAACTTGAGTACTATTTCATATAGATAAAAAAATTCACATGTAAGTAAAAGATCAAATTTTCTACCTTCTTTCAAATTTTGAGTAATTTCCGTTGACCGGAAGTATTAATTTACGCTATTTCCGATTTCTCAAAAAATGCATGTAAATTTATAAAGTACTAATAATATTGCGCATTATTATGCACATTTGCATAATTTGCTTGGTGCACAATTCTTTTTTCTATGAGATTCTATTCTATTTTTAAAAGTTTAAGTAATTAAAAATCATGTCTATATTCCAAGTTATATAAGAATATTTTAGAAAGTTCAGGGGAGATCACTCCCGGTTTATTTCTGCTATGAAAACCTGACTTAATTATAAAAATAGAAACGTTACACAATAGATTAGTTTAACTAATTAAACACAATTCTTTTTGTAAATGGTACTTAGAATGTGTGACATATTTTTTTTTCTTTACATGTTTTTTTAATTAACGTAGCTATTATTTTTCTAAGGTATGTATAAATGGATAATTTAGATTATTGGAATATAATCGTTAAACAATCTTTGCTTTAACTTAGGCTTCGACATGTGGCAAACATAAGCTCAGGTAACGATCTATTATATAACCCACACGTAGCTATATAAATACTAGCATGTATTATTCGCCGTTGTTCATTCAACATAGTTTGAGCGTATTACACTTTGAACGCCGTATTTACCTGTGGCCATTACGCATAAAACACTTTTTTTTCTGATCGTAGACCCATTTTATTTTTTGATCACGTCTTTTTTACATTTTTTTTACATTAATTAAAATCTAATAGTGAAAACAAGTCAATTTATATAGGCCTACTTAAACATAAATAAATAAACTGTAATGCTCACTATATTAAAACCAATACATACATAAAACGTTCTGTACGAAAGCATACTCAAGTATGCAAAAATATATATTATTTTTATACTTAAATGTCTGTAGCTTAAAAAAAATAATTTCACTTTTCTCAATGATGCTTTGCAGCGTCTCCCAATCTGATTACTAAAGGGTCTAGTCTTTTAGGTGGAAGCTTTAAATTTGTTATAAACTCTTTCTACTTCAGATTCTTCCATAATAGTTGTTTTTACAAGCTTTTATTTAAGTTGGTTCCTCTGTATGTCTTCCTCATTCTGTCTGACTTCTTCCTATGAAGATCGAAATTTCGGGCATTTCTAACCAATCAATTTCTATGAAATTCGGCACATGGGTCAAGAACCAATGACAACTAAATATGACATTAAATTTGACTTGATTGAATTCCTAATTAATTTTTTATGAATCAATTAAATTTACTGAAATTAGTAAGCCGCTTCGCTACTACTATTCCGCACTATTAAACGCGCGTTATCATGGTCTATGATTTTTCGTCTTGCAACTCTATTGTATTACAAATTTCAAAATACTGAAAAATGCATAACAAATGTTTTAAAAGCAAGTGTTTATGTAATAATGCACTAAAAAGGAGAAAATTAATGATTTTCTTTAAATAAAATAACGAACTACTATTTAAATACCTATAAAGAAAAAACGTAGGTATCTTTGTGCGTAACGCTATCTGGTTTGGACATACCCCACCTTTGTGCATGGCGTCACGTGGTTTGTACACTCCCTTTGTACATGGTGCTACCTGGTTTCTAAAAAGCAGTCAGAGGTGGACGTGAATTTCGGATTAGTAAGTTCGCCTGTCTAACGTTAGTCCACGTAATTCTTAACTGGTAGAAAATAACATTGTAAATCAGTCGTAAGTATACTATGTTGTACATCTGTGTTGTATCAGTGAATAGTATCTAGGTTACTTTTGGAAATTTATTTTGAGTTGGCTTGTGTTTTATTGTTTTGTTTTGTTTTTTTCTTAGTTATTAAGATTTTTAGTTGTGTATTTTTTATGCTTTGTTACATTATGATTTTTTAATGATATTTTTTCTTGGGCCTGTAGGCTTTTAAGTTTTGTTGTGTCTCTTTTAAGTATTTTTTTGTTAAATTTTAAGGTTTTATTGTTGTTTGTGTTTCTTGTGTTAGTTTTAGGTTGTTTTTTCTTGTGTTGTTTTCCAATGCTTTAATTCGTTACGTATAGTTTACGTTGTGTTGTGTTAAGCAGAGTTTCAAGCAGCTTATTGTAGAGAATAGCGTAAAATCAATCTTAGTCAATGTCGGGCCTGGTTCGAGTAATTGGCAACAGCATTGGGGTTGGGGTGAGGGGGGGGGGGGGTTGAAGACGATAGACGTTGGTCTCGGTGGAAGATTGATTGTCAGCAGACGGTTAGTGGAAGGCGGCATTGTTAATACAATGCTGAGTTATTTTAACAAAAGTTAAGTCAGAAGAATAGGCGGTGCATTTCAGTTTGTAAATTTGTGTGTAAAATTGTTAAAATATACACTAGGATGAGCATTGAAGCAAAACTTGTGCTTTAAGTGTAATTAGTAAGATAAATAAATATAGTGTCGCACACAAAACCTATTATTCTTCTTAACACAACCGTAGGTGATAAATTGTTGTGTCTTCATTTTAAATACGACTGAATACGGTGGTTATAAGACGGTAAGAAGAAATAAAGCTTTTGTATTCACATACTTTTTCAGCTCTTTACCTGATATATCGTAATAATTGAGCTAAAGAGGAATATGATTTAAAACACACTCGTGGTTGCAGTGGCGGAACTAGAAAAAAAGGGCCCCCATTCACAAATTTTTGTTGGACCCGTCTATATATATATATATATATATATATATATATATATATATATATATATATATATATATATATATATATATATATATATATATATATATATATATATATATATATATATATATATATATATATATATATATATATATATATATATATATATATATATATATATATATATATATATATATATATATATATATATATATATATATATATATATATATATATATATATACACACACACAAAATACGTACATAGAATACTGATAGGTTTTGAAAAAAAATGTTTTATTTCAATTAAAACAAATGATAACAACATGCCATGTGTGTGAGTGCATTAGCCTGTTTTTTTTCTTTTTTCTTTTCTTTTTTTTTCTCTTTTTTTTCGCCTCAGACATGTAATTTTACAGCGTCAGTTGTGTGTTAGCTTTAGTATTACAGTTTTCATCATCGGCTTGTGAGGACTGATACAGATTTACAATAATAATATTTCTTTCTTACTTGTAGCCTACTTTCATTCATTTAAAATGGTTTACTTAAACATAGATCTAATACAAAACGTCTAAATATTAAAAAAAAATTAAATAAAAATAACCAACCTGAAAATGCAAATGTGTAATTAAATGATGATTCAAGGGATTTTTTTCCCTCGGAGTGGTAGGCTGAGGCGGAGGGGGGTGGGGGGGGGGGGCGGGACGGGGGGTGGTATTTGGGTTTTTAAGTAGAGCTGAAATAAATTTGGGATTACAGAGAATTAAAATGATACAAATTTTAAGCAATCGGAAAAGTTGTGTTATTACAATGAGACACATCAAAGCAAACATTCTTCCCTTTCAAACATCTATATCTATACAGTCCTCAAACAGTTTTTTTAAAATTAATTCAACTGTTTTAAACATTTAAATCAGTAATAATAATTTGATAGTTTCACACAGCACCAAAGACATGAACAACGATTGCATATATAATAATCAAAGGGAGAAAATAAAATGGCATAAGAAGTAGCCTAAAATAAGGTGTGCAAACTCGGTTTCTCTTGACTGCTTAATTTACTGTGCTCCGTCCTTAGCTGCGGAGTCAAAAGTTCACATTGTAGCCACCCATGGGCAGAAATAGAAACGACCGTGGGAGAAGTGTCTCTGTAATACACATACTGATCTATCATTCCAAAACTTTCCATGACATAAAGATGACCCTTGGCGAAGAGGGCGCGCTACCTTGAAATATCCGCCAGTCCGGTTGAGTGGGGGGAAGTGTGTGTGTGTGTGTGTGGGGGGGGGGGGGGGTTGAGGTGTGTATCTCTTTCTACCATTCAAGTTGTGCACTTTTAAAAACCCGGGAAACAGAAGACTGTTCTAATGTTAATTTACTTGAGGGCTGATGAGTAATGTTTGGCTTGAAACTGTCTAAATTAAATTTAATACTTTATTTATTGCTTTCCTGTAAATTTTTTTCCCCAGTTAAGTGAGAGTTCACAGTCTATGTCGTAGCTTTGCTTGAAATATTTCTTTTAACTCGATGTCAATGTATTTTGTGAAAAAAATATCTGAATTTATTCCTAATTTGCCATATAGTCGATCTATAAATAGCCGTTGCTACTAGTCTTTTTTCGTCTTCTGTTCTTTGTCTAATCGTGTTAATTAAGTTGAGTGTGATTGCTTTATTTGTTGTGGCTTTTTGATTGGTGGTGTTTAATATTTTCGCAAGTCTTTGCTTTGCTTTCTGTACTCATATACAATCTAAACAAATGTGTTTCTCAGTTTCTTGTATATTTTGTTTACACGTTTGACATGGTATTTTAACATTTTGATTTGACTTTGTATTTCTTGAAACTAGAGTTGTATTAAAAATCAGTCTTTATGATACTTCCCTTTCTTTTGGTGTAATGGGTTTATTATGTAGGTTTCTAAATGTATCTTTAATGTCTATTATATTGTGTTCCCTGGCCCAACTAATTCTCGTGTATAAGTGTGTCGCTTGTTGTTTGATTAGGATGTCGTATATTTTTGTGTGTGTCTTCCACAATAATGCTTTTGTTTCGTTGGAATGTTGCTAGCGTTTCTTAATAAAATATGCCTATGTCATTACCCCCATAGTGTGGTGTTATGATGTTTAATTTTAAAATCAGTTTTATTTTATTTCTGTCATTAGACCTCTTAACCTCTAGTCGGTCAAAACAATATAAAATATGAAAGCTTTGTATAAGTAATGGTGTCTCGTGTTATGTTTATTTTTATGTATTTCATTTATATTATTAATTTTAAATACATTTCCTTTTTATACAATGTTATTCTTTAGTAAATACTTTAAAAAATAGTAATTAAGAGAAGTAATTGGTTTTTAATTTGTGTAGTACAAATCTATTAAAAGGAGCTTATAAGCACCCACATTTGACTATTTAAAAAGGGAAATAAGTCATGGAAGTGGTTTGAATGTTTGCCTATCTTTCACAATACAGCTCATATGTATATATTTTTTTACGCAACAGCATGTCTTAGCTACTGTATAACATCACTACTGTAGTAGATCTGTTTGTTATTTACAAAACCACTATCAAGGTGCCAGTATCGAAACTATAAAAATAAAGCCCCACCCCCTATACCCCTGTGCAGGACACACAATAAGCGGACCCCGGGTGCTAAGATAGCCCCTGGGTATCTCGGGATGCTCAACTACATATTTCCCTAGGAAGCCGTCACTCCAATATTTTTAAACAAATATAAGCCTATGACTAAAACCTTTGCGGGAGTGTACTCAAAAACTTCCCAACTTTTCTTTGCGATAGCATTGTGAAATCACAATGGATTGTGGGCCCCCATCCAGCGCTATAAAGAAGCAAAAGTCATCTTAATATCTAGCGGCCTCTTGCGCAATGGACTTTGATTTATTTTTCAAAAGAATTTTGCCGATAACAGCGTTTGTTGATTGTAGGAGAAAGAGGACTCGGTTTTCACAGGGGTTTAAAAACAAAGGAGAAAATAATATTCATTAGCGTGGGATGGTGTCTACTTTAGAATAAAGATAATCCAACATCAGCTACAGAAATCTTTGTACAAAACAATCATCAATTAAAAAATGCAAGAAATTTTTTAAAATTTTTACTATAATTTCTTTATTATGGTCGGCTGTGGGCCCCTAAATGTAAAGGGCCCCTCCCGCATTGCGATGTCTGGCGGCACTGTAGTTCCGCCCCTGTGTAGTTGTCTTTGCTACAAGTATTTATCTTATAATAGCATATGTATCTAATCAGTTGTACAGAGTTCTGCCCTGCCCTGCTCTGCTCTGTTATGGCATGCTCCGCTCTGCTTTAATTTGCCCTTATCTGCTTTAATTTGCTCTGCTCTGCTTTAATTTGCCCTTATCTGCTTTAATTTGCTCTGCTCTACTTTAATTTGCCCTTATCTGCTTTAATTTGTTCTGCACTGCTTTAATTTGCCCTTATCTGCTTTAATTTGCTCTGCTCTGCTTTAATTTGCCCTTTTCTGCTTTAATTTTCTCTGCTCTGCTTTAATTTGCCCTTATCTGCTTTAATTTGCCCTTATCTGCTATAATTTGCTCCGCTCTGCTTTAATTTGCCCTTATCTGCTTTAATTTGCTCTGCTCTGCTTTAATTTGCCTTTATCTGCTTTAATTTGCTCTGCTCTGCTTTAATTTGCCCTTATCTGCTTTAATTTGCTCTGCTCTGCTTTAATTTGCCTTTATCTGCTTTAATTTGCTCTGCTCTGCTTTAATTTGCCCTTATCTGCTTTAATTTGCTCTGCTCTGCTTTAATTTGCCCTTATCTGCTTTAATTTGCTCCGCTCTGCTTTAATTTGCCCCTATCTGCTTTAATTTGCCCTTATCTGCTTTAATTTGCTCTGCTCTGCTTTAATTTGCTCTGCTTTAATTTGCCCCTATCTGCTTTAATTTGCTCCGCTCTGCTTTAATTTGCCCCTATTTGCTTTAATTTGCCCTTATCTGCTTTAATTTGCTCTGCTCTGCTTTAATTTGCTCTGCTTTAATTTGCCCCTATCTGCTTTAATTTGCCCTTATCTGCTTTAATTTGCTCTGCTCTGCTTTAATTTGCTCTGCTCTGCTTTAATTTGCCCTGATCTGCTTTAATTTGCTCTGATCTGCTATACTTCAATTACTTAAACAGTCCTGTAATGAAATTTAGCTAAATTTCTCACCGCTCACTGCAACATTTCTCTTTCCTCTTTAAATTCAAGAAAAATTAATTTGTGATCTTTCCAACATAAACTTAAGCTATCATTTTATGGGATGCTATGATTCGAAAATTTGATTGACATTATTGTTTCCTTCTATAATACTGTCATTTAGAATTTTTGGACATTTTTACACATTTTTCTTAAACCTAATATTAAAACTAAAAACACATAAATTATACCAATAATCGCAATTCTGCGAGTTATTTTACTTGTTTTTAAACTAACTGGTACTAAAATGTTTTCTTTGCGAGTGGTTTAGAAACTACTTGTTGTATCAATGCTTACACTTACTAAAACACGCTCACATTAAAATTTGATAGAAATACTTTTTTGACAAAGCTCTAAACATTCTCACTCAAGAAGCTTTAATAAATTATTATCTTTCGGCTATAGCTTTAAAGATTTAATGTTACATTTAATTGGTTATTTTTTTTGGTTCTCTTCTTGTAATATTAAAAGCTCAAATGGTCTCTATGACGGGCGGCGGGCGACCGACGGACATAGCAGTGGCAGAAATAGAAAAAAGTCTCAAGAAAAAAAAAATGTTTAGGCCCCTATATAATACATATATATATGTATATATATATACTAGCTGCATCCCGTGCTCCGCGACGGTAAATCTTTTTTAAATGTACCAACTTGGGAACAGAACAAAACTAAATACAACACATACGAACGCAAAAAAAACACAAACGAAAAAACAAACACAACACTCATAACATAAACACAATTTAAATGCAATCATATAGGCACATTGCTCACAGTCTAGCCCGTAGCGCCAAATCGCGCCCTTTCCGGTGATTTGCATCCCCTCAAACTTTCGATTTGCACCCCTGTCCCCCCGCCCTAAAACTTTCGATTTCCACCCCCCTCGCGCAATTTTTTCCAACCCACTTTGGCGTCCCCTAAGGTCGGCACCCGGGGACATATCCCCCCCCCCCCCTCGCTACGCCTCTCCTATAAAACCCCTAGCTTGTCCGCAAATCCGCAAACCGAAAGATAGAATAATAATTAGTAAACAGTATAAATAATAGGCAGTATTTAAAATATCCGTGTTTTACCTACAATCTTTCACTTTATCCATTCACGCATTTTTTTTCCAGTACTTTAAATTTTAAAAACTTACAATAGAGTTTCATAACTAAAACCATTGCGCACCTAATGAACGTAATGACGCGTCTACAATAATGCTAAATAGTTGATTCAAAATTATAAGTAATGGGCGATATTGCTACGCAGAGTGGCCACCCCTGCCTTACTTAGTTGTCTGTGGCGCCACCTACTGCTGGTTAGCCAGGGAGAGATAAAAGTTTTCGAACTAAATCAACTGTTTTGAACGGGATTCCCATTGATAACAAAAACATGGCGGCTATTATTCGAGTGTTAAATAGTCTTTTAAGAGGCGCAAATCGAAAGTTTGAGGGGGGGGGGGGGGATTGCAAATCGAAAATTGAAAAATTTAAAGTTTGTCCCCTGGAAGGGTCGCTACGCCTCTGGGGGGTGCCGCACCGGCACTGATTGATATTGAAAATATGCTAGTCTACTTGTCTTAAAGTAAGTAGCCTATTTAATAGGCCTAATTTAGTAATTAATTCCTAATTCTTAAGTCTACAATCAACTACACTGTAAAATAAATGAAACTAGATCTAGAATCTAGACTACTCTAGTCTATAAATTAAAAAAAAATGTAATTCGTATGTTACTGTCTACGTCGGAATTTTCAAGAGGACTTTTTTTTTAGTCATAGATATAGATCTAGTTTAGATCTAGAAATCTAGACTCTAGCTCTAGATCTAGGCTATACTTCATAATTAAATTTAGGCTTGATTTACGATTGAAATCTTGTATAAAACTCATATTTTATAAAAAAATTATTATTATACAGGGTCTAATCCTACGTCAAAAACATGTGTATTCTAGATCTATCTATATAAAATATAATATATTTGTGTGTGTGTTATTTTAAAATTAATTTACATAAAACAACTCATCGTCGGAGTTTGTTTTGATTCCAAAAGCGAAAGTAGATTTCATAACTTAAAAAAAATATTCACATTTGGTTTGAAAAAACAAAAAAAACGCCAGCTGGCAACTACCGGAGCGAGACTTGAAGAAAGCGCCGGTAGGTGGCGCCACAGAAAACTAAGTAATATTTTCTTAAAGGCAGGGGTGGCCACTCTGCGTAGCAATATGGCCCATTATAAGTAATAAACAGTAGGGCCTACATTCAGTGAATAAAATAAATAAAAGATTGCCTTTTATCAATCCATGCTAATTATAATTTTCTAACAATAATTTACTCTTACACATCCGGATAATTTGTATTCACATTTTGCTAATTATATTATTGCAACACTAATTCCTTCTATGACGATCGTATATTTGCATTCACATTTTTTATTAGCGTGAGTTTAATGTATTTTTAAATTACCTCTTTTGTCAAAATTAGAAAAAAGAGTTATATTAATTTGATTTTTCTACCGTACTGTTATTATGTTATTGAAATGTATCCATTTTTTTCTGGGAATATAAACGAAAATGATATTTGACATTGATACTTTTAATATGTTTTAGCCGTGTGTGTATATTTAATATTTTCTTTAAGTTATGCAAAAGAGTAAACACAGTGGAAATTATAAAATAGCTCTATGTCGTTATATAAACAAACCCTACTCTAATACTTATAATAAGACAATGCGATGCACTGCAAAGCACTACATAGTGCGATGTTTACATTTATGGTTCCAAAATATATAGCGATGACGGAAGGAAGGAAGGAAGGAAGGACTGACACACTACTTTCCCGCTTATATTATATATATATATATATATATATATATATATATATATATATATATATATATATATATATATATATATATATATTAGTAGACTGCTTCAGTAAAATTCAAATTAATCTATTTCCTAATTTAGTAAGTTAATCTATTTCATTGCAGAGTATATTCCCCGTAAGACAACAAACCAAACAAAAATATGTTCCTCAAATAATATTTCAGTCCTGAAATAATCGTATTTTAAAAATGTTTGTATAGCATTTTTTTCTATTTCTCTCTATACATTGCCTCAGACATGTAATTTATATCGTCAGTTTACTTTACAATGTTCGTTTCTGTTTGCCCCCCCCCCCCCTCCCCCTCCCGTCATTGTGTGTGCGCAAACTGGTTTTCGATAATCTTTGTACTTGCACAACCGGTTTGGACCCCCAAGGTGCGAACTTCACATCAAAGGCGAATGAGGACTGATACAGATTTACGATATTAATACTTCTTTTCATTCATTCATTATTATTCGGTTACTTTTAGAATTTTTATAAAGCACTTCATTTTGTTACGTCTGTTTCTATCTTTCAGACTGAGAATGCTAAAGCAAAGACATTTCGTTTACAAAATAATTATTGGCATCATAGCTACATTAGCGTTTTTGGCCTTAACATATTTTCTTAAATACAATCGACAAAGTCATCTCACTGATCCACCCAGTTTCATCTTAAAGTTAAAGGAATACTGTCTTAGTTTACCAAAATCAAAAGATTCTGCTATAAAACTGGTAGACATTATGGGGCAGAATGAATTGACATTCCTAGATTGCAAAGAGAAGATATCGACGTTAATTTTAATTGATGACAGTAACCAGAAAAAATTAAACGCCTGCAATGAAAACAATACAAGAATAGACATTAAATTTGAAGAAAACAAAGTCAAATTAAATAGTTGTGAAGAAAAGTTTATAAACTTAAAGCAGTGCAAAGAAAATACGGCGAAGCTTGAAAATAAGATTACAGATTTACAAAAACAATTGGCCGAGAAAATGCACACAAAGCCTATAAGTGCAAGATTAAACGCGGCAGAGGAACCAAGAGTGTTAAGAGAAATCTTAAGTTCTGAAACTTCAAAATCTGAGGTTCCAGGAATATTTCCATCCACTATTCATTACGTTTGGTGTGAAAATAAAAGTTTTAAATTTGAACATGCTTTGGGAATTATAAGTACGGTGCGTATCCTGAATCCATTGAGATTGGTGTTTTATTACAATTATCTACCCAACAGTGGAGGATATTATTACTACTCATGGTTTTATGAATTGACACAGTCATTGCCAAATTTCGACTTGAAAAAAATCGACAGAGTTATACGATGTAACACAATGGACGCGGTGGAGTTTGCTTTAGAACAAATAGCATCAAGTGGAGGGGGAGGTTTTTATTTTGGTGAAAGAGCTGTGTTGACGTACATCCCAGAAGACTGGAAAACAAAGGAATTCGTCACATACTCAAAACCTGGGTCTTTATCTAGCGAAGGATTGATCGTGTTGATAAAACAAGTGTCCGCTAATAAGAAAGAAGACATAAAACAGCTTAAACAGAAAGTTCTCAAGGATCCATACTACTGTCACACAGCTCAAGAGTTCGACAGTCGGGATCCTGATACAACACAGTCCTCGCCGTGTGTAGTCCTGCCCAGTGATGTGTTACCAGAACATATCCTCAACAACACATCCCAGTTGAACGCTGTACTCAGATGGTTGTATTATGGGAGAAGGGAAGGTCTGCAGGCCGAACAAAGCAAAGTTAGATACGGATTGATAAAGCAAATTTATATACATATACATAGACATAATAATATAGACTACATATTTTACATGAACACACACACACACATATATATATACTAGCTGCATCCCGTGCTCCGCCACGGTAAATCTTTTTTAAATGTACCAACTTGGGAACAGAACAAAACTAAACACAACATAAACGAACGCAAAAAAAAAAAAAACAAAAAAAAACGAAAAAACAAACACAACACTCATAACATAAACACAATTTAAATGCAATCATAAAGGCATATTGCTCACAGTCTAGCCCGTAGCGCCAAATCGCGCCCTTTCCAGTGATTTGCACCCCCCTCAAACTTTCGATTTGCACCTCTCCCCCCCCCGCGCCCTAAAACTTTTGATTTCCACCACCACCCCCCTCGCAAATTTTTTCCAACCCACTTTGGCGCCCCCTAAGGTCGGCACCCGGGGACATATGCCCCCTTCGCTACGCCTCTCCTATAAAACCCGAAAGATAGAATAATAATTAGAAATCAGCATAAATAATAGGCAGTATTTAAAATATCCGTGTTTTACCTACAATATTTCACTTTATCCATTCACGCATTTTTTTCCAGTACTTTAAATTTAAAAAATTTACAATAGAGTTTCATAAATAAAACCATTGCGCACCTAATGAACGTGATGACGCGCCTATAATAGTGCTGAATAGTTGATTAAAAATTATAAGTAATAAATAGTAGGGCCTACATTCAGTGAATAAAATAAATAAAAGATTGCCTTGTATCAATCCATGCTAATCAAAATTTTCTAACAATAATTTCCTCTTACACATCCGAATAATTTGCATTCACATTTTGCTGATTATATTATTGCAACACTAATTCCTTCTATGACGAACGTATATTTGCATTCACATTTTTTATTAGCGTGAGTTTAATGTATTTTTAAATTACCTCTTTTGTCAAAATTAGAAAAGAGTTAAATTAATTTGATTTTTTCTACCGTACTGTTATTATGTTATTAAAATGTATCCACTTTTTCTAGGAATATAAACGAAAAAGATATTTGACATTGATCCTTTTAATATGTTTTAGCAATGTGCGTGTATTTAATATTTTCTTTAAGTTATGCGAAAGAGTAAACACAGTGGAAATTATAAAATAGCTCTATGCCGCTATATAAACAAACCCTACTCTATTACTTATAATAAGACACTGCGGTGCACTGAAAAGCACAGCATGGTGCGAATGTTTACTTTTATAGTCCCAAAATCTATAGCGATGACGGAAGGAAGGACTGACACACTACCAGCAGCGTTATATTATAGATATATATATATATATATATATATATATATATATATATATATATATATATATATATATATATATATATATATGATATTTCATGCCAGGAACCAGCTGATTTGGTGCCACCTATTAACCACGTGATCTTCCTTAACCCTAACCCAGGCAGCCCAGTCGTCTGGTCTTTTGAGAGTTACGTCTGTGTCATATCTGCTCTCTACGTTGGTGGATTTGAGAGGTTGGTAGACTCACAAAGTAAATAACGTTAACGTTTGTTTTTACCAAGAATATACTAAGCCTATATAAATGTTCACGTGTAAGATTGTTTCTATTTTTGTGGATTAAAATCAATTTAAAATAATTTTAATTTGTATCATGGGAAATAATAAAAACACATTTCAAATTTTCAGTACCATAATATAACAGATTATTTGTTAATTATTTTAAATATCCAATGCTTTTAAAGATTTATAAAACATGTCTTGCTTTTACTAAATGATTATAACTAAATTATGCGTTTCAAAACTCAAACCTTGCCTACATGTTTTTCTCAATTTTCTAGAGTGTATGTACACGGCGACACAAGACCGTCAGGTTACTGGTGGGAGAAGTTGAAGCAGGAAAACGTTACATTTGTCTACGTAAGCTTCAATAAATCATTTAATTTTATGTTCTAATAGTGGTAATTGAATCACACTAGAGTTTTACATATTTGAATTAACTTTCAATTATGAAGTCACTTTTATAGTGATATTTTTTGAATATCTGTTCAATAACCAGTAAAACAAAACTACTGTTTCTTTAGGTTGACCAGCCCCATAATGTTTTCCAACAAGAGCTGAATGTGATGGCCCACAGAGCGGATATTCTCAGAGTCCTCATTTTGTTTAAATATGGCGGCACTTACAACGTTAGTCATACATAAACAATCTTAAATTAAAATTAGATATACATTCATAAATAAAGTTCAATTTTGTATGTTTGTGGCAAACAGCGTCCGGGCGGACACACCGATGACTCCAAAGTCTAAAGTGCTCATCGTCTAACTTCATGATATAAAATATTAAAACGCAACTACAAACGCAAACCCAACCCATACACAAAGAAAACACAAACGCAAACATAAACATAAACGCAAAGTGCTTAAGTCTATTCCGGGGCGCCAAATCGCACCATGCTGGTGCGCGGGCGGAACCGCCTGTTTCACCTCGGTAAACAACTATAGTACCCCAACTTATTGATAGATTTTTTGCACTCACTTAAACGAACATAGGCGCCAAAGGGAACACGGGAAAACCAGAGGCGAAAATAGCACCCTGTCTGGGCGCCGAAGGACGCCCGGATTTGATTCACTTAAATTCTATAGTAACCTTTCTTATCCAATTGTTTCTTCGGTAGTAAAACTTTATACTTTTAAACGTACACTACGGTGACGTAAAACAAAAGGCAACGTTTATCATGTTTGGTGCGACCGACAAAAACGATTCCCCTTGCTGCGCAAAAAAGGACAGACGAAAATGAATGCGCAAAAAAAAGACACAAATAATAACCTGCGGGAATTCCTGTTCCCAAATAAAGATGTCTTTTGTTACTTCAACTGTCTTTGATTAAAAATAATAAGAAGAAAACAGTTCGTTCAGTGTATAAAATTTAAAAAAGGCAGTATTTAAAATACCTACCACGTTTCACTTGATCAATCCACGCTAATTATGTAATTTTTTTTCCAACACTATAACAAAGGTACTAAAACAAATAAAAGGTACATTTTTTCCTTCAGATGTAATGGTTTTTTATAAAGGGAAGTAATTGTGTTTTCCTAATTTCGTTAATTTCGTCAATTTTGTAATCTGGCTAGTCATTCTACAGAAAAGATCACACATTTAGCTGTTAACGTTTAGAATGGGATGCCCTGTTTAAGTTGAATAACCGTTTTAATAAATTTAAATATATTTATATTTAGGACAAAGACGTTATTTGGGTCAAACCACTTTCTGAGAGTCAGAGAAGGTACCCGACGATCATGTGCTATGAGTGGCCGGAAGTTCCTCCTTGGCCAAGAGCAGTCAACAACGGGTTGCTGGTCTCCAAGGCCGGAGCTCCATTCTTGTTGAAAATTTTAGACTCATTTTGGTAAATTATAATTTTGATTAGTCCATGAATGTTTAGTTATTTTTATACTCCTAAAAGACAGACTTATGCTCCTCCAATTAACCCATAAAAATGAAAATAGTTTTTACATTACTAAGCAGAGTAATCACAGTTTATTACCTCATAAATAGATTCCTTGTCAAGTTTAATACGCTCTAACTTCTTTGGCCTGAATGCTTTATTTTACACAAATTACTTACATACTCGTGAATCTATTGTAAATAGTAATCTTTAGATGTAATGCTTTTCAGTATAGTAAGTACAATAGCTCACAAGGTTGCCCTTGGTGAGAATATTTACTTTTATCGTGAGATCGTAATGAGTTCAAATATATATTCAGGTTTAATTATTTCTAATAATTCTAATTTGTATAGCAGTACTCATATCTTGGACTCATTCTAAAAATGAAAACACACCTGATTAAAATTTTAGTTTCCGCCTTTTTTATAAGTATAGACGTCCTAACCTGTTAATTTTTTAGGTTCTATCGTGACGATATGTGGGCCATGAACTCAGTGCTGATGTACTACAAGCTGTATGAGAGGAACCCGGAAATGGTTCACATTGACCCCAAGCTTCAGGTAAAATATAAAAGATGGCTGCTTAAAATGTTTAAAATGTAAGCCATGTTAAAAAAAAACAAAAAACAAAAAAAAAACAAAAAAAAAACAAAAAAAAAACAAAAAAACAAAAAAAAAACTACATACTATGCTATAATAAGTTTCAAATTTAGGTTTTGGAGATTTTAGGTCATCGTTTAAGCTAAATAAGTAAATTAATTAATGCATGAAGTAAAGTTGTATCTATATAGGGGCTACATTCCGGGTACTGTGTTCAAAAACCATTTTACAAGTTTATATTTTAGGTCCTCTGTTACAATCACATCTGTCATCCTACATGGTATGAAGACTACCGTAGGGGCTACGAAGACAGGATACCTACAACCAGATTTAACGTTGAAGAAACCAATGGTTAGTCAAACTAGAGTGTATTATGATACGATACAACATTGCAATTATAATACCCTACGTTTAATTGACTCTACGAATATTTTTTTATGTACTGGACTTTATTCTCAGTGAAGAGGACGACCGGCATCATACTTATTTCCATGCTATTTATAAAACATTTTGAGAGGTTTAATACTTAAATATACCTTTAATTATACTAAACAACAGTTACATAAAGACAAAGCTTGATTTTGCTTCTTTTTGTAACAGCTTTCTCCCACCGAGTTGACGAGAATCTTCGGCATGGATACACTTCGTTTTTTGTAAATATTTTGACTGTAAAACTAATAAAAAATTAAAATCTTCAACGTAAAAATAATTCAGAAATTTAAAATTTTTGGAATCAATGTTATAAAAGTTGCAAATCCAGTTAACTTGAAAATATTTTTTCGAGTTTATGGCTACATTTTTTTTTCATCAAGCCTAAGTTATAACCCGATGTTTCACTTTCGTAAGACAAACATTGATTGGCTGTTCAGAAACTCTGTGATCGATAGTTATTTGTTTACTAATCTTTGCAGATAAAGTTTTTAAATAACATAATGCTATTTTAAATCACATAACATGGTTTCACCATTTTTGTTTACATTTTGTGTTATAACATTTATCCTAGCCTATCCTATAGTATGATTATTACCGTATATGTCGCCATTACCACGTGAAAACCAAATTGCTTTAGACTTTTCAAAACGTGTTTTTAATTACCGAAAATACTAAAACGTCAAATACATCCACTCGTTTTTAAGTCCATAAAAAATGGGCCTTTCAAATACTTTTCACACTATTCTGGGTGGCCTATATTACTATCTACTACGACGTTCTGCAAGTATAAAGTCATGCTATCAATAAACACATTATATCAAGCAAATAAAACAACAGCAAATAATCTCGAACCGTATCTCATAACGTCTATACGAATTAATCATAAAACGTCCTTATTAAGTTTAGGTCTTACTCTACCTAAGTCCGTTTACAAATAAATCTGGACTAGGACACCAGTCTTGATTTTCACGAACTTTTATTTAACTTGCTTCCTTTGTCATTCTGTTTATCTGTCTATCTGTTTACTGTCTGTCTAGATCAAAACGGGCGAGCAAAATTTCAAGCACTTCTAAAAGACCAATTTCTCTGAAATTCGGCTCTTGGCTAAAGCCTCGACGACAATGCTATCTGACATCAAATCTGCCTTAATTGGATGACTAATTAATTTTTTATGAATTAATTATTTTTTATGAATTTATTATTTTTCGCGTAGTAGTTTTTAGTCATGCAACTTCATTGTATTCATAATGTTAAAGCACGGAAAAGAATTACATAAAAAACTTTTCAATAAAAAGTTTTTATGTGATAATGCACTAAAAAGCAGAAAATAAATGATTTCCTTTAAATATAACAGTGAACTACTACTTAAATAACTAAAAAATAAAAGCGTGTGGGTGGTCTTATATTCTTGTTAAAGTATTCAATACATATTATAGTGATCCACGCTTTTAGTTTTAGTTATTTATATTATAGATCATTGTTATATTTAAAGAAAATCTTTTATTTTCTCCTTTTTAGTATATTATTACATAAACGTTTTTTATTAAACGTTTTTATTGTATTTTTTCCGCTGCTAAACTACCTCAATAAGAAAACAGTTAATTAAGTTAGCAAAAAATTCAAAATCTTTTGTTTACATAAATATTATCGACTGTTCTTTCCCTTAAGACAATCCTCGGTCACACACATATACGAATTTTAATATCATTAAACAGTTCATACTATCTGGCTTAATACAATAGCTATGATTTAAGAAGAACAATATTGGTATCAGTTTTGTATCCCAGTTTAAAAAAAGATTTACTTATTTCCATTACAATTTTCAGCTTTCCATTTCATTCACATGAACGCTCCACCAATTTTCACATCGTTTTCTGCCATAAAGAACAAAACCAGTGTTGACGCTTTGTTGTTAAGGAGATTAATGGACGCTATACAGAAGGCGGGGAGAGCTCATTTGTTGGAGGAGAAAAACTAGCACTAAAATAGGGCTTGTAATTAGGTCACCAACTTCTCTTTCTCGTATTTTGCCCGCTATAATTTTTCAAACCAAATGTAAATAATTTCATTGAATCGGTAAACATAAATCTATTCAAAAGTTTTCCCAAATGAAGTTAGAATACTTATATAATATTATTTATCACCAAGACATAACGGAATTAATTTGATTCTTTTATTAGCAAAATGTTGATAATTGTTGCTTCATGTTTACTCTTGTTATTATGAAGCTAATAGCTGCCATTTTTTGTTTTTATTAATGTGAACCATGTTGATAACTTTGAATTTGATTGAGAGAGAATAATAACTTACATGTCCTTTTTCTGAAACTTTAGAAAAACTTATTATTTGTTATTTTAAATGTATGATTATGTTTTATTTTTCATATGTTTGTGTTTCATTAATATTGCTGGTGTTTTTGTTTTTAAATTAAACTCTTTTGACTAAGACGTCATAAGTTCATACTGTTTGTTGTGAAATATATGTAGAGAATAACTTTTATAACGTATAAGAATCTGCGTGGTCGGGCTATGGATGCTAATCCTCAGGGTAGATAAGGCTCGATAGCAGGGGACAACAACCCATCCTAGAGAGAAAACTACAAATTCACACAACTGTTGCATTATATATAGTTCTTGAATAGACAACAATAGATTACATTTCCTTCATGGTAACAACTATAAACTAGACAAGTGTTCCAAATTTGTGAATTTCTATAAAGTAACTCACCATCTGTATCCGTTACACGTGAATTATAGGCCAATATATTTTTACAAGCATTTATTTAGCTCTCAATGTCATTTTGTTTGTTTGTTTTTGGGTTTACGGCAAATTTTGTATATCGATTTCGACCTACTTTTAATGCAGTGATTTAGTTCAAACTTTTCAGATACGTTCCACTTTGATGACAATACAAGTCTTTTTATTTTTTCATTTCATTAGATGTTTAGTAAGTCATTAAGGGCAGGTAATAAAGACTTTGTGTTTGTGTTTGCGTTGAGTTTGTGTTTTGTGTTAGCATTTGTGTTTGGGTTTGTTTTTGCGTTTGTGTTTTCGTTTTCGTTTGTGTTCCTGTTTTGTTTGCATCTGAAAATGCGTTTTCGTTTGTGTATGTATTTCTCTCTGTTTTTGTGTTTGTTGTTATGTTTATGTTTGTGTTTGTATTGAGTTTCCGTTTGCGTTTGAGTTTTCTTTTGTGTTTGGGTTAGGTTTGGTTTCTACCCAAGTTGGTACATTTAAACATTTTTTTACCGTGGCTGAGCACGGGGAAGTAGCTGGTCTATATATGTAAAAGCAATGTATGTGTGTGTGTGGTTCTGTCTCTCTCTCTCTCTCTTTTTGTTTTTTATGCACTAATACACCTTTCATCTGATGGGCATGAAACTTTGGTACGTTTGTGAGAATACTCCTGGGGAGGTATCTGTGAACATAAATTCTAATTCGCAGTGGTGGTGCCCCAGCAGGGCGCGATTCTATACTCTATATACATTTATAAAAAAAGGTCGACTGCGGTTTCTGAAAAAAAAAACTTTTTGCAAGGGCCGAGCCCCGGGAGGGTGCTATAAACCGTTAATTTTAAAAAAAAGTCGAATGCGGTTCGACACAGTTCATCCGAGCGCCATGCAGCTTTTGAAAATTTATGAAAATACTCCAGAGAAGGTTAAAAAATATTAACATTTCTTATGGGCGGCGCCTGGGAGGGTGTGATTTTTGTCCAGACTTCCAGAGTGGCTATCTTAGCACTTGGTGTCCGTTATTTGGGCTTCTTGCATAGCGGGTAATGGGTAATACTATATGCAGCTTTAACTCTTTAATTTGTGCAGCCGCAGGCGGCCCGGCGATTGCGTGACCCAAAGCGACCCGTGCTCCCCTGCGGCAACTATGGCTTCCACGTTATTTTAAATGGTGCGATAGACTGTGCATAACAGGGTTTTAGAATAGTCGATTACTAAACATAATCAGGCGCGTCGGGCGGTACACGTGGAGGACGCGTTTTTGCAAAAAAACCCAAAAAAACAGCAACAGTCGAACACACAAGCTGGCGAGCAATAAAATAAACTATTTTGAAAACTATAGCAACTCAAACTATAAAATGCTGAGTAACTATTTTAATGGCTTTATTTAACGGCAACAATGACAATGTAAAGATACATCCGTTGATTGTGTTTTTCTACATGTCAATTAGTAATTGGCACATTACAAAGCAATAATTTTAGTTTACTAAGATTTCATCACACTTAACGCTATAACGTAACTATTCATCGGTAACCGTTACACGTGAATTACAGGCCAATATATTTCTTTTAAGAATTTAAAATATTTCACAAACAAATGGAAAAATGTTCGAGCACCCGCCGTCATAACATAGATTAGAATTTAAAATAACCAGACAGTCCTCATCTGTGTCCGGTCTACCATTGGGTTCCCCTGCCGCAAACAGGAAGTCCCGTTGTGTCTTTGTGCTGAGCTCGTTCCCATCCCTCCACACAAATACCCCTTCAGTCTGACGGTCGTCCAGCCCGAAATACACAAAACCAGGTCCGCTGACTCTTTGTAGTATTGCTAACTTGTCCAGTGTTTTCACAGACATCAAAAACCCGCCTTTATCCCGGCAGAAGTAGTCTGATTGGTTGTAGTTGTATCCCAGTGAAAGCGGAAATCTCCCCACGCATGCGTAAGTTGATCCTGATTTTTGAAGCGAAAACCCTTGGTTAGATTCGCATAAGAACTTGCCGTTTAACACGTAGAGTTTTCCTTCAGATCCGCTAGGTAGTGCTTCAGTCAGGTTAAGCCACGTTCCGTGTGTGCACAGTCTAGTGGCGTCGTTGAACATAACGCTTCTGCAGCTACCGCCGTGGATCATCAAACAAGATGATACACACGTGATGAATGATGGTGTTGTGATAGAGGGCGCTAGGCGTACTGGACCAATGCTGGGAGACGGAATCATGGTGAAGTCATACTGGTTTACTTCAGCACAAGCTAATGCTGAAAATATATCGTTACGTAATAAAATTAGACATTTTTCAAAGCAAGGAAAAGGAAATTTTTGTATTAAATTTCAACATTAAACAAAATATTACAAGCTTAAATTGATTTGTACTCAAATTTTGCTTTCAAAGTTGCTAAAACTGCTATTACGGTGACGACGTGGTAAATGTTGTAAATGCAAAAGTCTCGAGTTCGTATCCTGGACTTGTCTACGTAGGTTATCCCATAGATCACCCAGCTACTACGGGTATCTGACTCATATTATGCCGAGGTCAGTTAGCCAGGTGAACTATCTATCTATATATATAATTCTCTTCTTCGAGCCGTTAGAAAACAAGCTGCAAACGCTCTCCCTACCTCCCCACCCCTACATGGTTTTAGTGAGCTGTGTTCACTCTAAATGTTTACAAGCAGAGCCAACGATTTTAAACGTAGGGGGGGGGGGGGGGGGGGGAGGGGGGAGGAAGGGGGGGGGGGTTATGGTCCTTAACGAGCTACTTATAGTGTTTTAAAGAAATATTTTCAGTGGCAGCGTTGGTACTGTCGAATTCACAAATTATGAATTACTGAAAAGTAGAAAAAAACAACAAGTAAATAGCGGCGTATGTTATGCCGCGGGCCGGCTCGTATATATAATTCTCTTCTGGGATCAGTTAGAAAACAAGCTGCAACCTCGCCTTACAGTCCCCTCTCTTCCTCTCTATCGCTACTACCCCCCACCCCCACCCCCTCACATGATTTGGTGAGCTGTAGTTCACGCTGTTTACATTTTACAATCATAGAGACGGGTTTGTTGACGGCTATTAGGGGCAGATAATTTAGTTTGAAACGATTTTAAACTTAAAGGAGGTAACTAAGAGGAGGCTGCTATCACGTGGGGGGGAGGGGGGTTTAGTGTTTTAAAGAAATATTTTCAGTGTCAGCGTTGGCACTGTCGAATTCACAAATTATGAATCACTGAAAAGTAGAAAAAAACAACAACTAAATAGCGGCGTATGTTATGCCGCGGGCCGGCTCGTAAATATATAAACCTTATACGGAGCAAAAAATAGAGAGAGCGAGATAGAGAGCCAGATACGCTGAGAGAGTTAGGTATTGTTATATAGAGAATAAAATTTGTTTTATTTAAAGTGGCATTAAAACAGTTTTAACTGCGATACTTAAGAATTCTAATATATTTATCACAAACCCCCATTTGTTAGAATTTGTTCATGTTAAATATTATATTTTAACAATATGTGGTAACCTAGCTAATAACATCGGATAGAAACAACACTGAATATATTCTTGCTGTAGATCAAAACACCAACAACATCACACAATAACATGATTATCAACTGGTTATTTCATAAAAAATATTGAATATGCCTACCTAGAACCACTGCCATAATACATCTCAGCATACAGCGGCATTGATAAAGATTCCTCATATTGTATTGTACGCTGAATGTATATGAATGTATATGAATGTATATGAATGTCTCTCTCGTGCGATAGTCTCAACTCTAGCTCCCACTATTTAAAATATGCACATGCACATATCACGCAATCGTATCCAATCTCGCCTAGTTTATCCACCCAATGTATTTGCCAGGGCTATAGACGGACCCTGCTTGTTATTTGATTTGCCAGCACCTTGTGTCATAGTGCTAAAATAGTAAGCCCAGTCCATCAGACCGATGCAGATGTTAATTGAAAATCCATGTCTACAAGTAATTCGATTATTGTGTCGATTATTCAACGTAACCGTATAAATGCGCACAGAAATTAATTAACTTTCAGACTGCAATCGATAAATACAATTAAACTCATACTTCACAGCGTGCACATGTCCTTGATACAGCAACGTGGAAGTTATTTTTCTGATTAGGAAGGAAATATATTTTGGTTAATTTTTTAATATCTATACCTAGATACGAAATTGATAATTTTATATTGATTAGAACTACAGTTAATAAAAACAAAACAATGTTGACAGAATAATTTTTA